TTGTGTTAACCTTCACATCCAAGTAAAAAAACAAACCCAAAGCACGATGGGTGGTCCTAATGGTTTAGGAGGTTCTAATATAACCCCAGTGGGTCTAATCCTCATTCTTGGGTTTAATTCCCAGTGGGTTCATTATAAAAAAAATTAAAAAGAAATCCTACCCTCTTCTTCTTTCTAGTGCTTTTCTACAAAATTATTTGGGGGTTATTATTAACATAATTTAAAACTTTCTAGGGGATATTCTACAAATTAATGGAGGGCTATTTATAATTTATGAAATATTCCAGCAGGTCTCTTCAAATTTTTGGGTGTTATTTGTAGTAAACTTTCTAGTGGTTTTCTGTAATTTTTTGTGCATCATTTGCAATTTCAATAACTTTTAGGGGTTTTCCATAATTTTTCACAATTATTTGTAATCTTTGAATCTTTCTGGTCCTACAATATTTAAGGTTATTTGCAATTTTTAAAACTTTTGGGTGGTCTTTCTGTAATTTTTAGGATTATTTGGAATTTGTAATCATTTTTGGGTGTATTCTGCAATTTTTTGGGGGTGATTTGTAATTTTTAAGTGGTTAAACTTATTATTTAGTTGTTAAACTTATGAGTTAGTTGGAAAGTTTATGAGTCACTTGTTAAACTTATAAGTTAATTGTTAAATGTATAAGATAGTTGTCATACTTATGAATTATCTGTTAAATTTATGAGAACATTTAAATCATATTATACCTCCAAATTGACCAAATTATCTTCAATTTCATTAATCTTATGGTTGAAACAATTTCAACCATATGATAGATGTATATTCAAAATTTTGGGCACAGATCTAGTTATCTTCATTTATAAGTTTAGCAACTAACTTATAAGTTTAGAATCTACCTAGTAAGTTTAGCAACTACCTAGTAAGTTTAGAATCTAAGTTAAAAGTTTAATAACTAACTTATAAGTTTAACAACTAAATATTAAGTTTAACAACTATCTCATAAATTTAGCATCCAACTTAGAAGTTTAATCAATATTAAAAAAGCGGAAGCGCAAGGCGAGACCCTTTGATGAAGTGAGGCATAAGCTTTGAGGCGTAAGCTTCATGAGTTTAAATATTCTAATTTTAAATTTATAAAAATTATGAGCATATAATAAATATTGGTATAATAATTACATTTATGTCCTAATTAGTAAATTTAAATATGTAAAATATGGAAAAGAGTCATAATAAACTATGCTACATGCATAACATGTATATTTTATTTATAGTCACATGGTCATATTGGAAATACATAGGGGCATTTTAATGTTAGTCAAAAATCATTTTATGTCCTTCTATCTTATCTCTCTTATCTAAAGTGTGCGCTTCAAAAGAAAAGAGTTTTGTGAAATATTAAGTTTAACACACTTCAGAGTGCTATGGCGTAAGCTTCAAGGGATACATAGCTTCACTTTGGAGCTTCAAAACATTTAACCTTCAAAAGGTTACGAAACAAGTTTCGAAGCGAGTTTCAAAAAAGATTTTTTAAACATTGAGCTTAACAGCTAACTCATATGGTTAATAACTAACTAATAACTTTAACAATTAACTAATAAGTTTAACATCTAACTAGAAAGTTTAACAACTAACTCATATTTTTAACAACAAACTAATAAGTTTAACAACGATCTCACAAGTTTAACAACTAATTATTATGTTTACCAACTAACTCAAAAGTTTAATAACTAAGTATTAAGTTTACCTTCTGGAAAGGCTGGGAAATGGCAAATTACCCCCCCCCCCCCCCCCCCCCCCCCAACAAAGTTTATAAACCCTCAAAATTTTTAAAATTACCAATAATCCTAGAAAATTACAAAAGCACCCTAGAAAGTTTCTAAAATTGCAAATGCCCCTAAAAATTGCAGAAACCGCATAGAGTTTTTGAAACTAAAAATAACCATAAAATTTTACAGAAAATTTTGATAAAAAAGATTTAGATATTCCAAATAACGCCAAAAATTATGGAGAACCCCCTAATTAAAATATACTCTTTTATTTATTGCAATATGAAGCAAATAGTGCATACAGAATGTATTACTTCTACTCATCTGCTTCACGTTTTCTGCCACACGGCATAGTCATTACCAGAAGCAACAACATGAAAGTTTGTAGGAATAAGGTTGCCCAAATCAGTTTTCAATCCAATTTTAGCGATTATTTTTTCGTCGACTTCTGCGACGTAGAGATCATTATCTGCTGCCAAGATGCGCAAGGTACTATTTGGCTGAATACCGTTTCCTGATCTGATTTTTGCCAACTTGCTTATTTCATTCTTGAGGTTCCAATCAAACAAGTGATCATAGAACTGCAGAACACAATGATCAATACTTTAGCTAAAACAAGTGTATATCTTTTTTAACCTTTTTTCATACAAGGCATATATACATTACTGCTTTAAATCTGAATAACAAATTTAATTTCTTTAGGTTATAAAAAACTTGTACAATTAGCTTTCATAATTGAATTTTCTATGATGTGAAGAAACAAAACAAAAATGCTAATAGGAAGTTCATAAATGTCTCAATGATACCTCAATGTGGATTTGTCAACAATAACAGTCTGAAGAAAAGTTCATAAAAGTTCCACTATTTACACATTTCAAACTTTTGGAAACTAGGTTGTATTGTTTCTTCAAAATTAAGAAGCAATTATTAGAATCTTTAAGCTACACAAAAGAAAAAAAAATTCTTAGATTGATCTCAGAAAAGGATTTTCTACTTAGAAACATCATTAAAAGATTTGGCAAATGGATAAAAGCCAAATATCTAAGATATTACTGAACCAAAACTTGCTAATCCAGATGGTTTAGGCTAGCTTCCTGATGTTAAATGGAGATGGGGAATTTCCTAGAAGTAATTTAATCAACAAGTTATTTTGTCAATAGGATTAATTACTGATAGATGCCCTGTACTATCGCCAATTGGGGACAGACCTCCCGAGTGAAAATTGTTTGAGTGTTATTCCCTCAGGGGGTCTATATTAGTCGATAAATAATCTTTGCTTTCACTGAGGGTAAAAGAGTCAAAAGATTTCAAAGGGGAGTCTGTTAGCAATGATAGAACTACATGGGGTCTATCTACAACTGTGCGACAATACAGAGGGTTTATTCTCAATTAATCCTATCAGTTTTACAGTTTAAAGGGCCAATATGAAAAGCTTTTTTTTTTTTTCTGAGACTAGATCAGTATGAAAAACTATTAGTATGGAAACAAGAAGAAGAAGAAACATACATAAAAAATAAAACTAAAAAGAAGGAAAACAAGAAGCAGAAGAAACTTGCAATAGAGGGAACCCCGGGATGTGTCAAAACATAGGTGTACCCTTGCATAACCTTATCAGAAGGAAAAGGCCATATGTTTTGAGTCGAACCCGTATCATGATTATCGACGAAAGTCACCGCCTTCTCTGGCAACCATCCGATCATCCCCGTGGCTTTCCCATTCTCATCGCGCATCCGCCACAACTCCCCTTCTACAGCGAAATTCAATATCCCCTTCGTAGTAAAATCAAAAGCCATGGCAGGCCCTCCAACCCCTTGAGCCCATGAAACCAGCTCCTGTCTGTGTGCATCTTGGTTAGGATCTGGCTTCCCATCTTGACCAGGAGCCAAAGAGCTCCATATCTCCGATACTATAAAGTTCGGTGAAGTATTGTCCACATAAATCTTTGCGACGTTGGTTGAGTATCCTTTTGCAAAATCTAAGCGCCACCCATCGAAACCGACATCAGCCTTTAGCCAGTTAAGCCAATCTGTTAGCTCTTTTTGGACCCTGTCATTTAAATGATCAATATCTGGAGCGGGCTTGAAATCTAACCCGGTGTCAGGGTTTCCGGTGCCATCTGAATACTGGGTGTCATCCTTGCATATCATGTGGGGTCCCCAGTCGAGGCGGTCGTCTGGGGTTCCACCCTCGAAGATGCAGTATATTCCTCTGTCGTCCTGTTTCTCTGCGGTTCTGTGGTTTATGACGATGTCTGCAATGCATTTGATTCCTTTGTTGTGGAATGCTTGGATTAGGGACGTCAGGTCGTTTTTGTTGCCGTATTTTGATGCATCGAGATCGTATAGTCTTCCTGGCATGTAACCTGAATATTTTTTGATAGGGGAAATCCTAAAACTTCACAGGAATCCTTGCAGAAAAGACTTACAAATATCAAGTTACGTATTGATGAAGGTGACAAACATAGATTTTACGAGGTCGCATAAAGTTTTACATCCTCGCACTGTTAGGATATGTGAAGCCTAACTATCAGATATGCCCTATGCTTCAGAATAGAGGAGGAACAAAGTTGGAACAGGAGGAACATGATCGACGACGACAAAGTTCAAGCAAAACGACGAAGAAGAGATTTTACAGCTTTGCGGTCGACCGGCCATGGCGCGACGGTCGACCGCCTATGTGCACAGCTGGGTGCACAGGCCAGGAGCTCATCGCGGTCGACCGCACGTGGCGCTGCGGTCGACCGCTCAAAGTCCAGAGAGCAGGCCAGAGTTCTGTCTTCGTCGCGGTCGACCGCACATGGCGCTGCGGTCGACCGCCCAAAGTCCAGAGAGTTCAATCAGGAATAGGATTCGTCGCGGTCGACCGGATGTTGGTGCGGCGGTCGACCGGAGTCGGGTTTTGACCCAGATTCGAATTATGACCTGTTTTGTTCTGATTCCTTTTTTATTGGTTAAACCCTTAAGTGAGGTCAGAGACAATGGGATCTGAGAAGGAAACATCCAAGATTGAGAAGTTTGATGGAACAAACTTCGGATTCTGGAAGATGCAGATGGAAGACTACCTCTATCAGAAGGATCTATACCTACCATTGGGAGAGAAGCCGACGGATATGAAGGACGCGGATTGGAAGCTACTGGATCGAAAGGCCCTTGGAGCGATCAGGTTGACCTTGTCCAAATCAGTAGCGTTCAACATCAAGAATCAGAATACGACGGCGGATCTCATGGCGGCGTTGTTCAGTATGTATGAGCAGCCCTCTGCGGCGAATAAGGTACATCTCATTAAAAAGTTGTTTAATTTGAGGATGTCCGAGAGCCAGAAATTCAAGGAACACCTGAACGAGTTTAACGAGATCACGGATCAACTAAACTCGGTCAATATTCAGTTTGACGATGAAATCCAAGCCCTCTTGATACTTGGTCAATTGCCCGACAGTTGGAAGGGTACCGTTATCTCGATCAGCGGATCATGTGGCAAATCAAAGCTGAAGTTTTCAGAGGTGGTGGACATGATTATGACTGAGGAAATAAGAAGACAAGAGGAAGGGATTTCTAATTCAGGGTCGACGTTGAACCTTGAGGGCAGAGGAAGAAACCGAAACAGAAATAGAGGGAGTAGCCGAGGAAGATCTAACTCGAGGAACGGAAGGCCAAAGTCCAGGAACCGCAAGGGCAAGAAGGAAATAGACTGCTGGAATTGTGGCAAGTTTGGCCACTATGAAAATCAGTGCCGAGAACCCAAGAAAGACAAGGAGAACAAGACTGAAGCGAACGTGGCCTCAGGAGAATCAGATGATGCCCTAATCTGTTCGTTGGAGAGCAAAACTGAATCGTGGGTGCTGGATTCAGGAGCTTCGTTTCATGCTACCTCAAATAGAGATTTATTTGAGAACTACGTTTCAGGAAACCTAGGAAAAGTCTATCTTGATGATGATCAATGCAGACTATGCTGGTGAGATAGACCAGAGAAGAAGCACTACAGGATACGTATTCACTTTGGGCTCTACAGCTATTAGTTGGATTTCTCAGTTGCAGAAGATCGTTGCTTTATCAACGACAGAGGCTGAATATGTTGCTGTGACAGAGGCAAGCAAGGAGATGATATGGTTGCAGGGTTTCTTGGAGGAGCTGGGACAGAAAAGTGAGAAGAGTGTCCTACATTGTGATAGCCAGAGCGCAATTCATTTGGCAAAGAATCCCGCTTTTCATGCAAGGACCAAACACATACAGGTCCGCTACCACTTCATAAGATCAGCGTTGGACGAGGACATGTTGGAACTTGTGAAGATTCAAGGAAGCAAGAACCCAGCTGATATGCTTACCAAGGTTGTCACTACAGAGAAACTGAAGTTGTGTTCAACTTCAGTTGGCCTCAGCACTTGATGATACGAAGGCCGTCGCCGTAGAGAGACCTGAAAGAGATTGATAGTTAGTCTCCAAGTGGGAGATTGTTAGGATATGTGAAGCCTAACTATCAGATATGCCCTATGCTTCAGAAGAGAGGAGGAACAAAGTTGGAACAGGAGGAACATGATCGACGACGACAAAGTTCAAGCAAAACGACGAAGAAGAGATTTTACAGCTTTGCGGTCGACCGGCCATGGCGCGACGGTCGACCGCCTATGTGCACAGCTGGGTGCACAGGCCAGGAGCTCATCGCGGGCGACCGCATGTGGCGCTGCGGTCGACCGCTCAAAGTCCAGAGAGCAGGCCAGAGTTCTGTCTTCGTCGCGGTCGACCGAGCATGTCGCTGCGGTCGACCGCCCAAAGTCCAGAGAGCTCGATCAGGAATAGGATTCGTCGCGGTCGACCGCACGTGGTGCTGCGGTCGACCGGAGTCGGGTTTTGGCCCAGTTTCGAATTTTAACCTGTTTTGTTCTGTTTCCTTTTTTAGTGGTTAAACCCTTAAGTCTATAAAAGGGTTGATTAGGGCATGATGTAAAGAGACGAAAAATAGTGAATTTTTTCTCCTGCGGCGGCCGTGAACGTAGTTTCTCACATTGAGAAGCGAACCATGTAAATCTTGTGTGTTTGAGATTGTTTGATTTTCTCTCTTCTTTCCTAAATCTCTATTTTTAAATCGCATCAGGGGGATTGTGCATCCCTATCAAGTGGTATCAGAGCGACCAGGTTCGGCGCGAGCGATTTGAGGTCAGAGACAATGGGATCTGAGAAGGAAACATCCAAGATTGAGAAGTTTGATGGAACAAACTTCGGATTCTGGAAGATGCAGATGGAAGACTACCTCTATCAGAAGGATCTATACCTACCATTGGGAGAGAAGCCGACGGATATAAAAGATGCGGATTGGAAGCTATTGGATCGAAAGGCCCTTGGAGCGATCAGGTTGACCTTGTCTAAATCAGTAGCGTTCAACATCAAGAATCAGAATACGACGGCGGATCTCATGGCGGCGTTGTCCAGTATGTATGAGCAGCCCTCTGCGGCGAATAAGGTACATCTCATTAAAAAGCTGTTTAATTTGAGGATGTCCGAGAGCCAGAAATTCAAGGAACACCTGAACGAGTTTAACGAGATCACGGATCAACTAAACTCGGTCAATATTCAGTTTGACGATGAAATCCAAGCCCTCTTGATACTTGGTCAATTGCCCGACAGTTGGAAGGGTACCGTTATCTCGATCAGCGGATCATGTGGCAAATCAAAGCTGAAGTTTTCAGAGGTGGTGGACATGATTATGACTGAGGAAATAAGAAGACAAGAGGAAGGGATTTCTAATTCAGGGTCGGCGTTGAACCTTGAGGGCAGAGGAAGAAACAGAAACAGAAATAGAGGGAATAGCCGAGGAAGATCTAACTCGAGGAACGGAAGGCCAAAGTCCAGGAACCGCAAGGGCAAGAAGGAAATAGACTGCTGGAATTATGGCAAGTTTGGCCACTATGAAAATCAGTGCCGAGAACCCAAGAAAGACAAGGAGAACAAGACTGAAGCGAACGTGGCCTCAGGAGAATCAGATGATGCCCTAATCTGTTCGTTGGAGAGCAAAACTGAATAGCAGCCAGAGGGGTTTACTCAGAAGGGAAAAGAGAAGATGGTATGCAGATTGAAGAAGAGCTTGTACGGCCTAAAACAAGCTCCAAGGCAATGGTACAAAAAGTTTGATGGATTCATGCACAGGAACAGTTATTCCAGGTGCAATGCTGATCATTGCTGTTTTGTCAAGGAATTTGACAAGAGTTACATCATTCTGCTCTTATATGTCGACGGCATGCTTGTGGCCGGTTCAGACTTGAGAGAGATCAAGAAGCTGAAGAAGCAGCTGTCGAGTGAGTTTGACATGAAGGATCTAGGCGCAGCGAAGCAGATATTGGGAATGAAGATCAGTAGAGACAAACTCTTAGGCACACTACGACTATCTCAGGCCGAGTATATTCGACGGGTGCTTGAGAGATTCGGGATGAGTGGTGCTAAGGCCGTTAGCACACCGTTAGCTAGTCATTTCAGATTGACTAAGGAGCAGTGCCCCGAGACTGATGAAGAGAAGGAATACATGGCTAAGGTTCCATATGCTTCAGCCATTGGAAGCCTTATGTACGCCATGGTATGCACGAGACCCGACATTGCCCATGCAGTGGGAGCTGTGAGCAGATTCATGTCAGATCCAGGAGAGCAGCACTGGGAAGCAGTAAAGTGGATTCTGAGATACCTGCGAGGTACTATAGAAGATTGCTTATGCTTCAGGAGAGGCAAGTTAGTCCTGCAGGGTTTTGTTGATGCAGACTATGCTGGTGAGATAGACCAGAGAAGAAGCACTACAGGATACGTATTCACTTTGGGCTCTACAGCTATTAGTTGGATTTCTCAATTGCAGAAGATCGTTGCTTTATCAACGACAGAGGATGAATATGTTGCTGTGACAGAGGCGAGCAAGGAGATGATATGGTTGCAGGGTTTCTTGGAGGAGCTGGGACAGAAAAGTGAGAAGAGTGTCCTACATTGTGATAGCCAGAGCGCAATTCATTTGGCAAAGAATCCCGCTTTTCATGCAAGGACCAAACACATACATGTCCGCTACCACTTCATAAGATCAGCGTTGGACGAGGACATGTTGGAACTTGAGAAGATTCAAGGAAGCAAGAATCCAGCTGATATGCTTACCAAGGTTGTCACTACAGAGAAACTGAAGTTGTGCTCAACTTCAGTTGGCCTCAGCACTTGATGATATGGAGGCCGTCGCCGCAGAGAGAGCTGAAAGAGATTGATAGTTAGTCTCCAAGTGGGAGATTGTTAGAATATGTGAAGTCTAAGGCCAGAGTTCTGTCTTCGTCGCGGTCGACCGCACATGGCGCTGCGGTCGACCGCCCAAAGTCCAGAGAGTTCAATCAGGAATAGGATTCGTCGCGGTCGACCGGATGTTGGTGCGGCGGTCGACCGGAGTCGGGTTTTGACCCAGATTCGAATTATGACCTGTTTTGTTCTGTTTCCTTTTTTAGTGGTTAAACCCTTAAGTCTATAAAAGGGTTGATTAGGGCATGATGTAAAGAGACGAAAAATAGTGAATTTTTTCTCCTGCGGTGGCCGTGGACGTAGTTTCTCACATTGAGAAGCGAACCACGTAAATCTTGTGTGTTTGAGATTGTTTGATTTTCTCTCTTCTCTCCTAAATCTCTATTTCTTCCAAATCGCATCAGGGGGATTGTGCATCCCTATCACGCACCACAACATATAATTTTGTTTTTTTATTTTTCAGAGAAGAGGAGAGAGCGAAGGAAGGGGAAAAAGAAAAAAGAGGAGAGAATAGTAATCGGAAGGAGACCCTCGGAAATTGATAGTTCTCTCAAACGTCTGACTGAGTTGGATTCAACCCCAATCTAGCAGAGCTTCACCTTAGATAGAATCCAATTATAACTTGGTTTTTTTTAAGTATGCGTCCGTTGATATTTGAACATGAATTGCTCTACTACAATCTCGCAAAGTTTCTTACAGAGATTATACCACTCATTTAAGTAGCTTATATATGATAGAACAAAGGAGAAGACAAAAAAAATAATAATAATAATAAACCTTGTTCTGCCACGGAATGTGAGGGTGGAGGAAGCCAAACATGAGTGGCCCCGACATCAGCGATATCATCAACTTTATCCTTCAAGAAATTGTACCACCCCCCTTCTTTCTTCGATGACTCCCAATTAAACCCCTGGATTGAATGAAACAAAAGCGATTACGGTTGTAATTAATCAGTTAACAAATACATCAGGATTCAAAAGATTAAAAGGTTAAGATTGTGACCTGAAAAAGGATCTGACCAAATGCCCAATTGGGCAGCGAGAGGCCTAGTAGGATGGATATGAAGAAAGTGGGTTGATGAATGAGGAAGAATCTCCTCATCTTTAATTTTCTTTTTCCTTAACTGAGATATAAGCAAAGGCAGTGGAGGAGGTTTATATAGAGAAACTAGAGTCCTAGAGTTTATGAAGAGTTAGCATGACTAGTGTGGCACGAGGAAAAGTCGTCGGAGACTTTCCCGTTGACACAAGGGTACAAATTAATCTACCGAGGATTCTCATTTAATTAATATATATACACACAACTAACTAATAGTTACATAGCGGCTAGTAGATTTATACTGAGAGATGTAAAATAAGAAAACTAAATTACACTTTCAATACACATACATGCAAAAGCTAGAAGCCTGGCTGAATTATAGATGGTTTTCATTGAATGGCTAATTCATACGTACATCGCAAATATGTTCGTGCCAATTACAACCGGATTTAATTAAAATCAATTTGGATCTTTAGCTTAAAATTAAGAAAGAAAGAAAAGGTGAATGGGAATTTACTAAATGTTACAAGAACCAGTTGAAAGCTAATTATGTTTTTACTTGTCTTTCAACAGCTGGCCTCATTACACAAAGCTAGCACTTGAAGTAATAGTTAGAGCATGTTTGGCAACATACTTATTTTGACTTATAAGTAGCATTTTACTCATAAGGTATACCAACACTATGACAAAGTTTCATGTGTCCACACTTATCTTATGACACATATAGAGTGCCATTTTATGGATTAAATAATAGTGACACAAGTAAAAAGTGTGGCAAATCATGATACTTATTGGTGTCATTAGATATATAATTAATTGTGATTGAAAAATGCTAATACTTCAACTTGGATTGTGTGAGGATTTATTGATGGGCTTAAAATAAATGTTAGGTTTTAATTATAATGTTGGTAAAGCATTTATGATAGCATGTAAGCTAAACAACTCCCCGGTTAAATGTGCTTTGGTAAGAGTAATCTTAGGATGAGTAGCCTTTTGGGAAGTTATAGTGTTAAATAGTGATACTATTTATATATTTATGGTCTAGACACAATTATGCATAACTACTCTTGACACATATATATGTGTCACACGTTTTGTGACACGTGTATGTGCCACCACTCTTGACGTATATATCTGTCGTATGTTTTGTGACACGTGTATGGATAGCAAATTTTATGACACATGTATGTATCACAAGTTTTTGTGATACATTCTCATATGTGGAAGGATGCTCTTTACACATGCTCTACCCACACTTTGGTATGTGTCGTGGTTTAGTTGTGTGACATAAAAAATATGTCACATGGAGATAAAAATGTACTATAACGTACAACCTTTGTTGTAGTGCAATAACATGTTTGGTAAAGTTTTACTTTTTTTACTTATTTGTAACTTATACGTAGAGAAAAAATAAGTTCAGATTTCCCGAACTTATTTTTCCTACTAAAAAGGAGTTTTACTTCTTCACACCAAAAGACCAAAGAACCCCTCCAACTTCCTTTATCATCCTCATCGATTCTCGTAATATAAAATTAATTAAGTAGTGTCAATATTAATAATTAATAAGAATAAATAATATGATATACAAAAAATATTTTGATTAAATATTTATTATTATAGGGTAATTGATGTATAAAAATTTATATAACATACAAAAACTATACTTTAGCTAAATATTTTATTATTATAGAGTAATTATTATTAATTAATTATTAACTATTATTTTGTTAATAGGAAATTAATTAATTAATATCAATAGTTGTAATTGATAATCGCAAAGAGTGCAATATGCAGAAATATTTCTTATTACGAGATAATTAATTAATTTATTAATAACATTTAATTAATATAAATTTATTTAATTAATCTTAGTATTATTAATTAATAATCATAATTAATATTAAATAATAATAGTGTGAACATCAGTAATTAATAACAATAAATAATGTGACATAAAAAGTAAATACAATGCATCAAAAAATATTTTTTAATTGAATATTTTATTATCATATAATAATAAGTATTAATGAATTATTTAATTAATAAATATACATATTATTGGTTATTATTTTATTAATATGAAATTAATTAATTTAAATATTATTAATTAATTACCATAAATAATGTGAGATATAGAAATATTTCAATCAAATATATTTCTTATTATGAGATAATCGTTTTTTATTAAATTTATTAATTATTTTATTAATAACAAAGTTTGATTAATATGAAATTAAGTGAGGACCGTGGACTCGCCGGAGAGAGAGAGGAGTCATAGTAAATTTCTATTGCTGAGTCAGCTTTTCGTCTCGAAGGCCGACGTAGAAGTTGGGAAGGGGCGAGTGAGAAAGAAAGGGAAAGGTTCGCCGTTGGTTCCAAAGTGAGGACCGTGGACTCGCCGGAGTCGCCAGAGTGAGAGAGAGAAACAGAGAGAGAGGAGTAGTAGTAAATTCCTGTTGCTGAGTCAACAAAGATGGAAACGAGATGGCGACTCTTTGGGCTTTTGGCCTTGGAACTCCTCAATTTGAGAATCGGACTAAAATACACCGCGTGAGGACAGAAGTAGTGGGCCCCCGCGGTGATAAGTGCTGTAACAGGGTTAAAGTATTTTTACAACAGCAGCTGAGCGACTCAATTGCTTCAGGGGAAAATGTAGCAGTTTGGAGACCTGTATAGCAATTAATCATGAAACCCTAAGATTTACTTCATTCACAACCAAGCCCATTCATCTCGGAAGTAAAATTTACATTCACCTTCACGGTTCGTATACTTAAATACAACACATAAAGCATTTGCCAGCCTCTATATATCAATACATACATAAAACAAACTTTAGCAGTTAGTTACATGATATTGAAAAATATACATAGATAGAAGAGCCTGCAGTATCAACTTAGAGGATATGTATAGTCCACTATTTTTTTTTTTTTGCCATATGACCAAGACAGCCAACTAATACCCATAACTGGTTTTTTCCATCATCCTCAAGAACTCATCTTGATCAACTTCCCCATCCCCTGCAAATTTGCGAACATGATCCCGTTGCATGATGAATCAGCTCTAAAGTGCTGTAGATGAAACTAAATGCGGATCGAGGGACATTTATTAATCTATAGCCCTCACTTTCAAACTTTGCTCTTTTATCATATGTCAAGGGAAAATTTCGGTCAGCTGGGTTAGAAGATAATTTGGTTTTTTGAGAAGGTCTCAGTTTTTGACTCTTCACTAATCTCCAATTAGGTATCAGTCAAATCTTTCTACAATCAGGAGCTAAAAACTTAAGGGCTTTTTGTTTTTAGGTCCATTTGTTTACCTAGCTTTATCTTTAAATCCAAGAATTTTTAGTTGTATCTTTAAACCCAACTTTCTTTTTGTATTTATCTTTAAACCCAATTCTAAAATATAATACTCTCATATGTGAGTCTCCCTATATAAGGAAATTGGGTTTAAAGATAAAAACAAAAAGAAAGTTGGGTTTAAAGATACAACTAATAAGGAAATTGGGTTTAAAGATAAAAACAAAAAGAAAGTTGGGTTTAAAGATACAACTAATAATACTTGGGTTTAAAGATAAAGCTAGGTAAACAAGAAAGTTGGGTTTAAAGATACAACTAATAATACTTGGGTTTAAAGATAAAGCTAGGTAAACAAATGGACTTAAAAACAAAAAGCCCAAAACTTTAAACATAAGAAATTCACACAATACTCGATGTCTAGGGAGCTTCTAGGGAGTCACTATCATCGAGTAATATACTCACCGTCGCGATCTGCTTCTTTTATCATCTCCAGGACTTCTTCCTTGGTGAAATGCTCACCCAGCTCTCTGGCAATACTCCAGACGTCCCTTGCAGATATTTTACCCTGAAAAATGTGGCTCAAAAGATATATTTCCATCACAATCACAAAGGAGAAGGTTGTACCACATATTAAATAATACTAAATTATATGAGTAGCTTAATGAAGATTACATTTTTATCTTGGTCGATGACACGAAAAGCTTTCATGAGTTCTTCTTTGGTATCCCGTTCTCCAATCTTGGTTGTCATCATGTACATAAATTCATCAAAATCAATTGCTCCGCTTCCATCTTTGTCCACAGTAGCAAACATCTTATTAATCTCCTGCGAGAACAACATGGTTCTATGTTAGCAGGAGAACTAATACAAGTTTAGAATATCTTCTTTCAGTAACCGGGGCATGACATCAAGGGAGAATATGAGCTAGAGCAATAGATACATAATATACATGAAGATGAAGGGATAGGAGAAGTACAATATATAGGAGGAGGAAAAATGTCTGAATAGAAAATAGACTAATATTGCTTTCTGAATCAAGGTATCACACTGCTCTGAGTCAATGATCTATTTCCGCAGGGTGATGTTATCATGACTAGAAGGAAGATGATCAAACAATCAGACGATGAAGAGTGTCTACATCTCTAAGCTTATACCAAAACACCCGTACGTACTACTCATTCCAAACGCACGCAATAGCAGGCGCAAGCGACACAATCTCAACGATAACATATAGGATGTAGCTAAAAGTTCACATCTACTTATAAAATTCATGTCAGACATCAATATTGATGCTCAAAGATTTTCATTATGATCTGCACATTATAAATTCATGAGGTTTGAAAATTACATAGATTAAAATTTTCAGCTTATACTACACTTATGACCTAAAATGAACTTCTAGTCACAATCCAAAAAGCCAGTTACTTGTAGTCGCTTGAATCATAAGATAGAAAACTGAACAAAGTTGTTTCTAATCCACCTAGGTTTGATGGTGAGTAAATGACAAAAGAATAACGGAAATTAAGAACTGTCTTATCAAATCAAAATGATAGGAGAACAAGTACTGAAACTCAAAGAACTGCCCTCAAATCAAAGCAATAAAATAACCGCACAAACTTAGGAGGAAAAAATACTGTAAAATTTGATACTTAAGGAACAAAAAATTAGTAACCTCTTCCGAAACTTCAAATCCCAATGCCCTGCAAATATATATATCATCTCAGTGTAGTTCTTCAGTATTAACAGAAAAAGTATATACTCTGAAATATTTGATTTTGTGGGAGTAATGAATGGATAAATACCTCATGGCAACATTCAATTCTTTAGCATCAATAGTACCTAAAATAGTTACAAATCCAATGTTACCCTAAAAGAAAGAATGAAAAGGACCAAACGGAAAAAAACAACAAAGATAAAACTAAGTGACATACCAGAACCATCAGTATCAAACAAATCAAATGCCTCCTTTATCTCTTGCCTCTTCTGTTGGCTTATACCATGACGGCCTTTTGGCTTTTCTCTCCTAGACGTTCCTTCTCTAAGACTAAAATTTGACTACAGGAATAACAACCAAAATTATTTTGACATCGAAAATGCGCATAGATTTGGAAAGTAAAACTTAACAAGCATGATGAAACCAATAAAAAAGAAACATCAAGTAACAAGTGTTCAAGAGATCTGTACTAGTTGAAATTGTTAGTTTTGTGGAATTTTGATTAGATGCCAATAGCTAGTGATAATTAGACTGCCACTGAGTATGTGAGGGTCAAAAGAATAATCTATAATATCGGGTCACTTCAGCATGCAGCCCGTGGACGTAGGACTTCCTCCAAACTACATTAATCCTAGTGTTGGTGATTGTCGATTATTTTCTGTGTTTGTGTGTTATCCTGAGATGTTGAGTTCTGTATGCTTCCGTGAATTACCAGCAAAATAATATTTTCTGCTTACTAACATCAAGGAACACATATAAAGCATACAGCTCTACAAATACACATATCAAAAGGCAGTGACTGATGGTCTTAAAATTAGTATGCCACTCGAGAAGTTAATCGATCACCACATGTATGTTGGTTCAATTAAAATATTTTAAGGCCTTCATGAACATTTGTGGCGCAACAAAACTCCCTCTTCTTATTGGGTAGCAGGTGCATGTGATTCTAAGGTCTTTTGGAGAATTAGTTGAGCAATGATATGTTATATGGTTTATTTTTTCGAGAAGAAAACAATAAGAGCTTTCAATAATCTGATATCTAGCAACTCTGGCTTACTGTATCTGCATTGCTAATGTCAACTATGGTGTTCTAATGTATCAGGAGTACGGTGACACATAGCAGACAACTTGCTCAGCATGCATCGCGTCTTCTCATATGATTCTACGGTGAAAATCAAGGGAGGAATTCGGGGGGAGATACTCTTTAGGGTTTATTGTTTGGGGAGAAAGTTGATGTATTCATTGCTGTGTTCATTACAACTTCAAACGTTACAATGAAAATAAAAGTTAGCCTTTTTATAAGACCCTTACACAACGAGAACAAAAGAAAGTACAACTCTCGTCAAATAGCGCAATGGGTGTTTATCGCCCGCTGCTTGCGTGGGATCTTGGCCTGTGACGGGGATGTTAATGTCCGTGGACCACCAAACGATCAGATCAGATCTGGAGCTTCGTTGATTCGCGAAGAAATCAGGAAGCCGAAGCAATATCTCGGCAACAGCGAGATAATCACTCTTCTCGAGATCACCGCAATGGGGCAATCTCAAGGCAAAGGATCGGGAAGTGTAGATCTGACGAGCTCCTTTTTTTATGCCGACGAACTCAATCCGATCTCCTCCTCTCTTCTGCAATTCATGCTCCTTCAGTCTTTAGTTCAGCAGAACTTCGCCAACGCTCGAGAATTCTAGATCTGAAAAAATAAAGGCCCTGGGGCTGTATTTATAGGCTTCAGAAGCTCTGTTTTCGGATAAGAATGACCGATTCACTCTTATCTTCAGTTGTAACCACTCAACCACGTTCTTGAATGATATATTATCGGTTGGAATAAATCCAGACGGTTAACGATCGAAAAACAGCTTAAATCTGCTAAAAATAGCATTTTTGGGCTGCGGACACCCGTGGGTACTTGGTGTCTCGGCCAAGCTTTGACCGAGACACCACTTGGTGTCTCAGCCAAGCTTTGGCCTGAACTTGGTTTCGTGTGTTATGTCCGTTTTCACCGTATCTTCATCGTCCAAACTCAGAATTACGTTGTTCAAGATGCGTTGGAAAGCTAACTAGGAGATCTATAAGATCCCATGGTTGAATCACATGTGAAGTAGACGGGACACGAGGGGTGCTTCGTCTTTTGTAAGCGACGTGTAGCTCCCGATCAGTTTGTGTTTGGTTATTCTAAAGTTCTGTTGCTTCACACGGTCCGTCGACTCACTTTATGCGCTTGTCGATATCAAATAAGCTTTTATGACTCAGATAGCAACGTTTATCGTCTTCTCTCTATCTCGAACCGCGTACGGGGACCTATAGGTAATTTTTGATGCCTATAGATACCCCCTCCAAAGTATTTCAGTCTTATTTTTTTTATAGAGGAACCTAAAATACTTTGGATGTGATCGGTCCAACCTTTAGTCGGTGTAAAAGGACCTGTAGTTAGCTTCGATTCTTGACTTCTTTAATTTTCAGTCTATTTTGATGAATAGCTGAAGTTCTTTCGGCGCTGCGTTTATCGTCTGACCGTCGTCGAAGTTTCGAATCGAACTTGGTAATTTGGTTTTATCTTGTGTCATTGAGTTGACTTTAAACTAATTATCTCTGTCACAACGCGTTGACCGGCGTTGACTCAGAGCTACGCGTTGATTGGCATGGACTTTTCTTGCAATGTGTTGACTGGCGTTGACCTAGGACTACGCGTTGACTGGCGTTGACCTAGGACTACGCGTTGACCAGCGTTGACCTTAGGGTTTAGCTTCGATTGGCGTTGACCGGGGTTGACCTTAGAGTTTCGCATCGATCGGTGTTGATTTTTATTGTAACGCGTTAACTGACGTTGACCTAGGGCTACGCATTGATCGGCGTTGACCTTAGGGTTTCACATCGATCGGTGTTGACTTATATCGTAACGCGTTGATCGGTATTAACATAGTTTATACTCGTAAGTTTACTGGAGTCTACACAGTTTAATCTCTTAAGGCGTTGGAGCGTGACGGTCCCAAATTTCGAGGCTGCAGGACCAACTATTAAAACTGATTCATCTGCATGTATGGATATTATCCTGAGGTTGTGGATGCTCAAGTCATGAGACCAACTAATGAAGCTGATACGTCAATGACTCTTGTATTTATAGGATTTTTAGCAAACCCTCAGCCATCAACGGATTTGATGAGCCCTTACCGACTACCATTTGATTCGGACTAACATGCAGTTTGTTTAAGTCCGTTTCGCATATAACGTTGTGCTAAAAGAGTTAACTATTTTAATGCTACGATATTGAATACGTAGACTTCGTCTTTTTACGGGAATAGACTACTCGGCGCCGTGTGTTAGACGTAGACTTAGGATTTTTGGCCAATACTCAGCCATCAACGGATTTGACGTACCTTTACCGACTACCGTTTGAGTCGGGCTAACATGTGAATTATTAAAACCCGTTTCATATGTGACGTTGTGCAAAGAGAGCTAATTCTCTTAGACTTGGTGTTATGATTTTGAATACATAAAATTTGTCTTTATCACGAGAATAGACTACACGGCAACGCGTGTTAGGCGTTGACTCATCCTTACTTAGGATTCAGGATAAAAATTTCCAGACTTGTATTCTGGTATCTTTTTTATTCGGTGAAAGACTAAACCGGCAACGCCTGTTAGGCGTTGACTTATCCTTTCTTAGGATTCAGGATAAAATTTCTCGTACGTGTGAGGCGCGGATTTTAGCGTTATTATTAACGGCCTACCATAATATCGAATATGTGGGCTTTTGTCTTTTTACAGTCAAATACTAACCGGTAACGCGTGTTAGGCGCTGACTTATCTCTACTTAGGCTTCGGGATAAAATTTTCTAGACTTGAATTCTGATGTCTTTTTCAATCGGTGAAAGACTAAACCCACAACGCGTGTTAGACATAGGCTTATCTCAATTTAGGAGTAGAGATAAAGTTCTCCGCGCGTGTAAGACGCGGATTTTGGCGTTATTAATAACAACCTGCCACAATATCGAATATATAAGCTTTTATCTTTTTTACGGTCAAAGACTAACCGACAACGCGTGTTAGGCGCTGACTTATCCCTACTTCGGCTTCGGGATAAAAATCCCCAGACTTGGATTCTGGTATCTTTTTTAATCGGTGAAAGACTAAACCAGCAATACGTGTTAGGCATAGGCTTATCTCTATTTAGGAGTCGAGATAAAGTTCCCAACGTGTGTAAGGCACGAATTTCGACGTTATTAATAACGACCTGTCACAATGTCGAATATGTAGGTTTTTATCTTTTTTATGGTCAAGGACTAACCGGCAACGCGTGTTAGGCGCCGACTTATCCCTACTTAGACTTCGGGATAAAAATTCTCAGATTTGGATTCTGGTATCTTCTTTAATCGGTGAAAGACTAAACCGACAACGCGTGTTAGGCATAGGCTTATCTCTATTTAGGAGTCGAGATAAAGTTCGCCGCGCGTGTAAGGCCCGGATTTCGACGTTATTAATAACAACCTGCCATAATATCGAATATGTGAGTTTTTGTCTCGATAGCTATGAAGGCAAATCATAGTTTCCGAAACACTTGCGGCTATCTCGAAAACTAGAGTGGACTTGGTGATGGTTTTCTCGAGTTTTGGGTGATCCACGTGGCTTCATAACTATTGGGGACCATCCATAATCATGGGGGAGACATTACAAGCAAAAATCATGCTAATAACTGTCGAAATAATGGTATTAAAATATGGTTGAAGCAGTTACAAAACTGCCAGAAACGAGCCCTGTTTCCCAGACAGTTGCGAGTGTCTCGAAAACAGAGGGTCTTCGACACAGTTTTTTTTTCAACTTCGGACTTCAGTTACGTTTCTTATGGGTTATAAATACCTTCCTAGGGCTATTACTGAGAGGGAGAGAGCATTATTGAGCAGAATAGAGCAGAAATTTGAGCATTCTAAGCAAGGGAGAGAGAGAATCTTCATCGTGTGCAAGCCTTTCAGAGCTCTTGCGATTCCTTGAGATCTAAGCTTTGACTTAATCTCGAATCTTCATCGTGTGCAAGCCTTTCAGAGCTCTTGCGATTCCTTGAGATCTAAGCTTTGACTTAATCTCGAGAAGAGTGTTTTATCTCTAAGCTTTGACTTAATCTCGAGAAGAGTGTTTTATCTTACTTTGCTAAGATATTCACTTCTGCCTTTGTTTCTAAAACGAAACATTGACCTTAAGCCTTCTTCACGGTTCAACTTGGATCTGTGATTTGATCGTTCACGGGCTAACGCACCTCCGGTACAGGCAAAGATCCCACGCAAGCAGCGAACGATAAACGTTCATGTGTATGTTTCTAGGAAATTGTTTGTTTGTAACGAGAAATTTT